AAAAAAAAAAAAAAAAAAAAAGCATCATAACCTTTCCATGTAGCCCAGGCTGATCTTAAATTCCATGTAGCCCAGACTGACCTCAAAGTCACAGCAATCCTGCTTCAGCTTCCCATGTGCCACCACTCTCAAAAAGCCTATGCAGTTGACAGAAACAAGGAATAAAATTCAAGGATGAGAATTTTGGTCACCTAAGCGAGTTGCCATCCAGAATCCAGTCAAAATATTTTAGGGGTACCATGAAACAGGCACACTTTTACCTCCTTCCAGGTGTCTCTCAGTGGGACCTCCAAGATGGCAGAGAGGAAATGCTAGATGTCTGATACACCCAATAGGAGTTCTCTGAAGTTGAAGAATGAATTCTAAGGAACAGCAGAGGTTAAACATAGGAAAATTTATTGGAGAAAAGGCATGAAGAGTAGGAGTAGCTCCTAAGATACGGGAGGGGTCCCAAATGGGATGCTAATAAGCCTAATTTTCTCAAAGCAAGTTTTATAGAGCAAAATCATGAGGTGGGTACACTATGGGTCAAAATTATGATTAACCAATAAAATTGCAAGTTCTTGTACTATGAGTACTACGAAGACAACAATGTACAATGTATTAATTATTGTAACTGTCCTATCCTGTTTTGAAACTGTCTCATTACTATTTCTCAGTAAAATTAATAAAAAATAATAAAATAGAATTGCAAGTATGGTTGTTTAGGTAGTATTGATCCAGTGGTAGCAAGGGCTTATGGGTGACATCAATATTGATTGATAATCTGTAGTCTTAGTCTCAGTGGGAGAGGTTGACCCACTCTCTAATGCGAATGGGAAATCGTAAAATGGTGATACCAGTAATCTCAAGAGTCTATCTATCCCTTAGGAAAGCGTGTAAATCTGTTCTTTGTGACTTTGATCTTCAGATATACCCCAGCCAGTCCTGATTCTCATCGCCTGCACTGAGTCCCTGAGGGCCCAGCCCTGTCTCTGCCTACTTATTTCTACCTAATTTAGCTGCCTGTAATACCAGGTGCTGGAATTACAGGCATGTGCCACCATGTCCTAT